ACATTTCCTATATCCTTCTATCATGCCTTCCCTGTCACACTTTTTACCGTGCTTATTCCTAATGTAGTGTTGTGTGCCCCTTCGAGCGGCATTTATGAAAACCATTCACACTCCACACTGTCGTTATCACCCCCTTCGCCCTTGTGATGGGAATGTTGCCAGAGTCTGTCATATTGTTACGTAGTCCTTCCCTGGGTCCTATCAAAGTCTCCCTCTTGCCCCGTCGAATACAATATTGTTACGTAGTCCTTCCCTGGGTCCTATCAAAGTCTCCCTCTTGCCCCGTCGAATCCGTCTGCTATTTCCCTGGTACATGTATGTACATCATGAATGCCGCTCGAAGGGGCACATGACACTACATTAGGAATAAGCACCGTAAAAACGGTGACAGGGAAAGCATGATAGAAGGATATAGGAAATGTGAATAGGGGCTCCGGATTATCTGCCTTCCCCTCAGACCTCCCAACAATATAACGAAATTGCGAAAATAGTGTCAAAAACTTCTATACAACGAGGGGAGACTGCGACCACATAAAAAGCTTTATCACCTTGGTCTTCATACCTTCGATTAATTGTTTTTGTGATATTATAACTTAATACTATATGCTACTTTGCATTGCTTTAGAGTAATAAATGTTATTGATATATTTTTCTTAACTCTACTCCTTGACTTATCAAACTCAAGATTTACCTTTACTCAAAAGAATGAGTAATGGTAGGACACAATATATTTATCCATTTCCAGTTGACTTATACAAATAAGTGATAATAATTTGTAGCGATTTAATCTAATAACTTGATTTTTTTACATGTCTCGTTTACATTTCCGTTTTCTATATGGTTTTCTAGTTTTTTTTAAACTCTGGATAAGATTTTCCAACTTTGGTTATAAGTATACGTATAAATAATAACTTTTTGTCAGAAATCGCATATACAGCCACATAAATAAACATGTAAGCATGCACATTCGCAGCAGTGCATCCATCCACCTTCCCACATGATCAGAAACAAGCATTTATAATCTAGATATGAATACCAAGATGGTTGGGCCTGTCGCTCTGATAAGTTGTAACTCCGGCACCTCTCACTAACGGTGCCGACTATGCTGCGAAATGTTTGTGAATTTACATAGTAAATTGTTCGAAGCTGGAAGTCTTGAATACTATGGTAGAGAAAACAGGACTAGTTACGTTCCACGTCTCTTTGACGCTCCAATCAAATTGTAAAAACGAGGTCGAAGCAACATTATCAAGCAGTGATTCCCAAACTGTGCGCCGCGGCCTCTTTACAGGGCGCTGCGAAATATTGTAAAATCTTCAATTTGAGAAAATGTGTAGTGATTTGCAGGCTCATCCATCACATTAATTATCGAATATTAATAAAGTAAAAATGATAATGAAGATACACGAGTTTTATTTTTTTTTTCTCTTACGAATAGTCATACTTAGGGTAGGGCGCCATGGAAAAATTAAATTGAAAAAGGGCGCCGCGACTAGGAAAGGTTTTGGAAACACTGCTATAAAGCATTTATCAGCCATGAGTCTTTTGCTATCTAATGAGGTCCAGAGTGAATACACCTCCTATTCAAGTTGCACATTTTCTAGCCTCACGCTTGCCTCCAATCTGTGATATGCTCGTCAAAATTATATCATCCTAAGAACCCTTACATACTCCTAGTAACAATCTAAGCAACTAATAAATCTCATATTTCTTATATACTTGCTTTATCGATTTTTTGAAATCAGGAGACCTTTCTCAGCCACTCCCTTGCGTTCGGCTGGCAGAACACCGCGACAAGGTGATCCAAGCCAAGTGGCATCCTGATCAGCTGACCTTTGTCACCACCAGTGCCGACAAAACCGTTGTTACTTGGGCCCTACCGAATACAGACTCCTCCGAAGAATTATAAATTCATTCTATGGGCACTACTCACTGGTGGCCTTTTTTATCAGCCAAGTCACACAATTTGCCAACTTTATGGCTTTTATTTTTTTTCTATTTAGTCATCATTATCTTATTCTACATTAAATCTTTCCTTTGTAATCTATGTCATTTGCCTTCTTTTCCATTCTTTCCTATTTTTCTTGAGCTATTGCTTTCTATTCCCGAATTATTTTTCATAATCCCCACATGTCTGTCTTTTTCTTTTTCCCTAAAAATATTCCATTATATTGCTATCTCTTGCACGAAAGACTTAGCTCGTCGTTCCATTCTTTGACTAATTATAACTCCACTTGAGCTGCTATTTTATATGCAAGCCTTCTTTTAGCACTTAGAAAGTCATGTTGCTGTATTCAAAAAATATTTAGAGATAAGAATGATTACGGCCAAATGATCATCATATGTAGGAAGGGCATTCGCTTTTTCTTACCCTAATTGCCTCCAACTGCATACAACGCATTATATGAGTGCCCGTTTTTAAATCTAACTGTTTTTTAACCATAATTCTTCTTCCTTTCTACTCTTATTTCTATTTTATTTCCTATGTTTTCTATCCATCCGTAATTGTGTAGATTTCCTAAGTGTATTCAAGGGGATCTGCATATACTTATGAATTTTCCTATATTTCTATACTCTTATCATATCTTGATCTCGTGATGAAAATATCAAGGCGAATTTTATTCTGCACCTCGATGTTTCTTTGTCATGTATGAAATAGGCATATATTTATTATTTAATTCTTAAGCAGATCCTCAATATCTATTCCAATAAGGAACCTGATTTTGCCTTAACTCTTCCAGAAATGCAAAACTCTTAACTTTGAATATGCGTATTACAGCTTATCTTCAGCTTATTTGGGGCCTGCCTTCATTAAACAACATAACATTATATTGAAATGCGCAAAACAAGCCGAACTATCACTGTGAAATGGCAACAGATGCCAGGGAACTTTTCCCTTAGAGCAATAGCGACTTATATGTGTTTTTATGTAACAAAGAAGAGTTATATTATTTCAATTGACACCTCTCGAATCACCAGAAGAGAGAATTCGCGTCTGTGCTTTCCAATAATCCATAACATCTCTTCGTTTGTTACTCTATCGCCATACGCTTAATTAATGGTATCACTATTTTTGACTATATAAGTTTATGTTCTTCTGCTCATTGTATCATGCATTTTTGAACATGATTATCTGAGGCTTTAAAGTTACAATGCATTTTATGATGACATGCAAATATTCTTGAGTAGAGGTTATGCTCCGTTTTTTTGCCATAGCAAAAAAGGTATTGTTGTTTGACAAGTTCATGAAGGTGTGAGATTTCGTTTATTTGTTTTGGACTTTCACTTTCTAAGTACTATCTGGGGAAATTTTGTTATTCCTTAATTGAGATACATTTCTATATATCAATTAGCCATGAAGATACTTTCGAATACATTCTTTAGTATAGTTATTATTCATCAAGACTTGCTAATAGGCATAGACTTTATGCAATTTTTCCAGGCGAATGACTCAAATTTGTATCTTACTATGGCTAAATTCACTTATTGAAGGTTTTTTCCTTACCTGTTTGAACCAGAAAGTCTCTAGAAGGATAATGTAACCGCTCAAAAATGCCAATAAATTGATCTATGTAATTTTATGGGAATGTTGTTCTTTATTGTGCATCGCATATAACCAGCTAGATAGAATGCCGCAAACTAACAGCAGCTTTTAGATTGGCCTCCTTTTTTTATGACGACAATATGGCAAAAAATATCACCTTCGAAGCCATCTTTTTGGAAAAAAAATGACGATAAACTTCAAATAATAGGTTGGCGGGCATCTGTTTATACGAACAAGCTGGTTCCCCTTCTGATTGCTCATTAAATATCCGGCTTGCTTCCATTGTGAGGCTGGGAGTACATTATTCTTTTCATAATTATATTCTCAAAAGTTTTGAAATACAGCTGTTCAGATTGCTGGTGGTTTGCTACAATTTTGCACAGAGGATATGTTCGCAAGTAGAAATCTTTAACTCTTGGTAAAGGTGGAAAGTTCTTTCTAAACTAGATACAAGTCTTCTCTAGGCTATCCAATAAAGAATATTTCATTTTTTAACTAACTAAGAGGAATTGGAATTAAACCTAGTTACAATACTTTTATCACCACCACACATTACCTAAATCCCTATTCTTACTAGACCTCATAGTCTCATATGTTTTGACGAACTTAACTAATGACACAATTTCAGGGTGTTAGTAGAAGTTGGCTTTAGACTAAAATCTACCTATTGACCTAGGAATGAGCAAAATGGATTTATCCACAGCTTCATTGGCATTCACCATCAAGCACCAATGGGAACTTCGTTTAGGATCATCGGCTTGTCCCAAAGCCCTCATTCACTGGTCTCTCGCTTTTAGATTGTTTACTTATAGGCAGCAAATAAGCTGAATTCAAGCCCTAAAATGCATCCTTTTAGTTTTTATTTTTCATCTTTCTAACTGGTAATTTATCGTTCATACGGACTCATTCTTTTTGTGTTCATTTCATTCTGCTCAACGACATTTTTAAAAGGAGCGGTTACGTGGTGGTTTATTTGCCCTCCATGCTCGCTACACAATTATTTTTCCCCGATGCTCTTTATCTCTTTTATATTTTTATGCTTGTATGTTCATGTATCTGTACGTGATTGTCTTTTTGTATATATTATTTTTACATTTTCCAACTACGATGCTGTTATTACAATTCCATTAGATTAATAATGATCCTACTTTTCAAAATTGCTTACTTGATATCCTTTTTTTGCACTAGTCAACTACTATTCTGTACGTGAAAATATCTTGTGTTGCCAAACATTTTAATCAAAATTCATGACCTTTAGCACTTACAGTATTTGCATGTGTTTAGCTGTCACTTTCCTAATTATCCTAAAGTGATACACTATCCCTTTAGTTTGCTTCTCTGCTCATTTCATAAATGCTTTATATATTTATGTCCATATTAGTCTCTTGCCCTTTTGTTACCAGCTTTGTTTATGTTTGGCGTTGCTCTGCATTTAACAAACATTTACACAAGTACATCCTACTTATATCTTTGAGTCTTATTTCGGATACTGTCTTTAATGGCATTCAATAACTAAACAAGCAGTGGTGACGGCTGCCCTGGGCTTGCAATCAATTGTTTGTATTCGTCTTTCATCAACGCCATCGCTTGACATTTGCATATAAAGCGGCAAGGATTGAGCGTTGCACCGGTATTCTTCTACGGCCTTCTCTTCTTGGGATCCGTTGGCATCATTAAACGATGTCTTAACTTGCCAATTCTTATTAGTCTGTTCTCATCTTGTTAATTTTCAGCATGTTTAATTTAAGCAGTCTTTTTGTATTCTACCCTGAAATTTTCATGCTTTTCGAATTGTATACACCTTATTGTCTAATTTTCTGGTGCTGACATTTTTTCACTTCAAGACATCAAATCGGTATGCTATTTGAATGCTATCATTATACTAAGGAAGAAAGTAAATGAAGATGTATGCACGCAATTAAATCATCATGCCCCATTTCTATTCCATCGAAATATAAAGTGGGCTCTATTTGGTATAACAATTACTCTCGATTCAGCTTACTACTATGCTTCCTAGAGTCATAACCTTAACATTCCTATATATTTCGTTACTCTCCGAGGTCCCTTACGTTTAAGTCAATCCACAGAGTAAGAGGTCACTCCATCAATCGCCTATTTGGGAAACTGCATTTGTAGGGTAGCTTCGCCCAATAGGCATTCATCGTTGGTATTCCAGGTATTCATGCTGGTCTGCTTTTGGGATCTGAACTGTGGGCTTCTAATAAAATCCAGCTAAATACTTGAAAATCTTTACTTATTATTTCGAAAGCTTGGGCTGAGGTTGACATAGTTAGTCGCATGTACTTTTCTCCAGCTTTGGCGCGAAAATGAGTGCTTAGGCAGATTGGCAACGTGACAGGAACAGATTCATTCTGGCTCCCTTTGTTGATCAACCTTGGATACCCAAACATAAACCGAGACTTCATTTTAAAACCTCTGTCAGATCCGGCGTAGATCGTCTTAGCGTTAAATAGATGACGTGGCCTCTTGTCTTGGAGGGCTGCATCGCATTAAATCGCTGACATAAGACGAGGCCAACATTGTTTTAATAGTGAAATAATCTTAGCATTACTTCCGACATGTAGAAACATTCACAAATCTCCTGCTCGATCAGAATACCTAATGATCGGATGCGTGCCTGGCATTCAGTTGGCAAGCGTCTGCTTCTATGACATTATCTAGTATTTCAAAGTCTCTCCGGCCTACTGAATCCTAAGTGATTGCGAAGCGCCATGATAAACGTTGTGATCGATCCCGGCAGATGCCAAACATGTGTTAATGACCAACGCAAGTCTGTACATCTTTGCCGATATAACGGTTATAGCTTCCTCTATATTGCTAATAAATTCGCCCATAGATCACTGAGTTCACTTATTCAGACATCTTCATCGGGAGGCCCCTTGTCGAAGTCCGATTTCTAGAATTTTTACTCTAGTCTCTTATCAGGCTTGGGTGACAAAACTTTTCAAGTACTAGAAATGGTCCGACTTCGTTTTCACAACTTAGTCGTGTTGTCATGGTGACCTAGTTGTCCGAGTTCCCCTACTATAGTAGTTGTGATAATTCCAAGTGTTTGATCGCAGTGTTTGATGTCGGCATTTCGCCGGCATCACCAGTGAGTCTTATCATTCTTAGCGCCAAGCTACGGCTCCCCAAAAGGACGAGGAAATTTCAAGTAAATCCAAGTCTGATATTAGAAAATGACTGGTCTTCCTTAAAATCCACACCTCTGTGATCCAGGGACACTTGTGACAGTGGCTTAGTGGTTAACGTGTCGAGATTAGATGCTCTACTCTCACGATTCGAATCCAGCTGGGGGTGTAGATAAGACCTGGGCGAGGTCGAAACTGCAGTTCACCCTGGATGGCAACTCATTTGGGGAAAGCAAGGTTACGTGAAATCCAACGGAAAAGTCAGCTCTACTCATCAGTATGGGAAAATTCAACTACTAGTCCTTCATCAGTTTAAACGAAATAAGGTTAACTTAACTCATAGTATGAAGAAAAGTTGGGTTTCGAGGAATCTCTTGTTTCATAATTGTTGGGATTACTTCCATTTCGAGTA